AGTTGAAGAAACATGTTCGGTATCTGTTGTATTTTGAAAATTGCAGCTTTAGTGGAATTGAAGAAACGCTTTGAACATCTATCGCATATCCAGGCTACAGATGGTATTTAACACTAGGTCTACGGGACGCGTGATTTTGACGCATTTCGAATTTCACTAGGACAATTACAGAAACCGTTTCAATTTCTCTCCCACCACTTATGCTTGTTACAAATTTTATATAAATATATAACATCACATAGTTTCATTTATAAGTTAACACTGTACAATACGTTCTTTTTAAATAAAATAAGTTGCTTTTTAACCCTTTGCACTCGGAGCATTTTGTGATAAGATTAATAGTGAAACTTCTGGAAAGCCAAAGTTTTGTCTTGAAAAAAAAAAAGAAGGATTTTCAGTGTTTACGAATTTATTTATTTGTATTTCTTGTGCTAGTTTGCATTATTTTGATAATATTGAATAAAATAAAAAGTCTAAATTGTACATTTCTCCAAAGTAATTACACGTGTCGCCATAAGAGCGCCATTGGAGTGCAAAGGGTTAAAGGAAATATGCGGTTCCATTCACGCGTCAATTTAACGCGCGTCCGTAGAGATGGGTATATAAGAAATGTCCGTGAACCTGGTGTTAAAAAAATTATAATATCACTAAAACGCGAAATGAGACTCTATTAAAAAGCATGTGAGTTTCAAGTGTTACTTTAAAAGCAGATTAGGGAACAGGGAGAAACTAAAATAGCTGAAAAGAATAAGAGCTGCAAAATATAAGTCAATAAAGATAGAAAGGAAATCGAAGACAGATTTATTAGAGAGGGGAAGAAGAGTACAGAACAGGGGAAATCGGTATGATAAAAAAAATCGCACATGCACGAGAAAGAAAACATACGAGAGAAAAGTGAAATGAAAAAAGAAGATCTAGAACACGAGATAAACAAAAATGGTACTCTGTTTGAAAAGAGAAAACGCTTCTTCCCCCAGCTAGCTTTTCGTTTGAAAACAAAGCAGAGAGCAGCGAGGTGCAGGGACACTTTTTTTAATACATTCACTCGCCAGCTTAGTGATCATACTAATGATCATTACCGGTGTATACGGCAGGCAAGTGACGCACAGTAGATAGCGGCATGCTCAAACAGACAGAGACAATCTACTCGGCTTTATTTCTCTCGTCGAAAGCGAACGAGAGACTTTTTCACCGAAACCAGCGGCGTAGCTTAAAGGTTGTCAGCACGGTGACCCGAAAATACGAACGGAGCAATCGTATTTCGTTCTCTCTACCGAGAGATCGTTTTAAGATCCACGTCGACCGTTCTTTCTTTTCTTCATTTTCTCCTCCGCGATGAAACGTCGCGATTAATCGTATCTCGACGTACCAAACTCTCTCAAATTTATCCCCCGTCTTTACATCACCATTATCGTTCCATTAAAACGCCACTAAAATGTCCCGCTGGTGTGTAATTTACAAATAAACAAACGTGAAATCTCTCCGCGTTCGCATCTTGTCACGCGCGATTCTCTCCTTCGCTTCTCTTTTCCGCGATACAAGGAGGATCTCTTCTCGTTCGACTCTTCGCAGAGTTTCTGCTCGATCCAAGGGATCGTCTGTGCCGTCACGTCGAACAGCTAAATTACATCGATCGCGTGTAACGTGTAATTTTCCGGCGCATTACGCGCGCATCTATCGCGCGCTCTGCATAATCTCGAAACGCGGCGTGAATTAATAAACCGGCTTCGGGCTAATAGAGTATCAGTTCGACGGTTCTGTTGCTCTTGTTAAGAAACCGTATCTGACCTATAGAGTTTGATAGTTTGGGAAACTGTCTGGGTACATTGGAGCGCTTCCATTTCATCTTTGCCGCGCTAACGTCTCGTATCGACCGTGTCATCAATGAGAATAACGCTAGGGTGTGACGATAATAGGACGGAAAAGTAGCCAAAGTTCACGTGAAATGTTCGAGTGTCGAATTAGAGTCGTATGCTCTCACCACTATTTTCAAACCACTGACTCATAATATCGAGTTAAGGTACAAGGTGCTAGCAAACAATGCGATAGCTTCTCACGGGCGTTCGTAACGTGTTCTACATTTTCTATAGCCTGCGTGGATGTTCGGGGAAGTCAAGGTTGCTTCTCCCACCGCGAGCTATAGTGGACGTATTTGTAAGACGTCGATTGGTCGGTGTGTATTTAGAGTTGGGACGAAATTGCGTCGTGGATGTGGATTTTTAAACGTTCTTTCAATTCTGGCGAAGAGATCCTGTGGACAAAATTTTTAAGTGTTCGTCGATTATGGTATCAGGTGTAATGAATGAGATTGAGAGTAATTGTTGAGAAATGAATTCTTTCCGACTAGATTGACGTAATTGACTGAAAGCCACCGAGTTTCCATCGCGATAGTATTCGCAGGCTTCGAGAAAAATGGCAAAGGTCATCGATTGATCGGTTTCTGTTCTTTTCAACCCTTTCGCTACGGCAGCTTTTAACGCGTAACGCTGTAATGTTTAACCACTGTTGCAAAATTTCTTATTTTGACCGTATCGTTCTAAAATTCGACTTTTTAAATCAAGGTGGAAATTAAGGGTAAAATGAAGTATTAAACTAAGATGGAAGTGCAGCAAAAGGCTCCAACGATACAGTGAAAGGGTTAAATAAAATGTCGATTGTGCCCAAAAGTTGGAAAAAATTCATTTCTACACCTAATACTTACGAATTTCCAAAACTTCCTTCAATTTTTAAGTAAAAATCTTTCAGACACAAGTTCGATTGTTTGTCGTTGCACGGTCATTCTTTCTCAACAATATTTTCGAGAGGAGCAGAAAAAAAAGGAGCGAATTGGTTTTCAGCAGTTCAAATCTTGTCTGGAGACTGTAGCATGAATATGTAAAAGGGGACAGAGCCGGGTAATAAGCAGCTTGGTCGATGCACACAACTCGTGTACAGTCTGGAGCTGAGAGCAGTGTACTTTTGACGCCGCGAAGTGACAAAGCGCAACGTGCATGCGGATCACGTATGCGTGCCAACACCGACAAATACACACGAGCTTCCTCGTTTCGCATGCACGTGCAGCGTGCGCACCTTTTAATTCACGCTCAACCCTCGCAATTTTTTATCGACACTGGCGATCCGTCGTCCAAGTGCAATCGTTGCCAAAACCGTAATTTATAATAGCACTCGCGATATGCATATCGCATAAATCACCGTGTTTCTTCGCGAAGAATTACGGGAACTCGTGGATTCTCTTTCTTTTAATCGACTGGAGAACCCTTTTTCCTTTACTTTTCGGTGAAATTAAAATCGTTTAGATATTTAGTATAGTGAAAATTTAGGGGTTGATAAATTAAAGATTCTGGGAACATTGAAATTTTCTTCTCTCCAAAATCGACTGGAGTACGATGTTGTTTATTTTTCTGGAAAATTGAAAGTTTTCGAGGGTTGGACGGTTGGAAATTTACAGTCTCGTCGATGTGTATAGAAATTTGGAATGGATCTGCACTCTGTTTTTATTTTTACTCGAGCACAGTAGAGGTATCAGCAGTGAAAATAGCGAGGTGCAAAAAACACGAGACTGAAATCGCCGGAAATAGAACAGCACATGGGCACCAACGGCGAGAAATGAATGAAACTTTATCGCGTGTATGATTCAGGACACCGAAAAGGATATTTCAAAAGGTCCACGTAACAGTATGCACGTTTACTGCCAATAAAAGCAGCATACGCGCCTGGCTAAATTTACTACGTGAGAAACTGGTTTCAGCTACTCTTCTCGTCGATTGCGCTCGTTGCACGCATCGATACCGCCCAATTTGTATCTTCCAATATTAATCTAGCTAAAGAAAAACAAACGAAATCTTAGAATTTTTTAGACTACACAATTTCTCAGACTATAGAATTTCTTAGACTGCAGAATTTTGTAGACCGCAGAATTTTGTAGACTGCGCAATTTCCTCAGACTACAGAATTTCTCAGACTATAGAATTCCTCAGACTCTAGAATTTCTCAGACTATAGAATTTCTCAGACTATAGAATTTCTTCCTACTCTAGAATTTCTTAGATTGTAGAACTTCTCAGACTATAGAATTTCGCAGACTATAGAATTCCTCAGACTCTATAATTTCTCAGACTGTAGAATTTTTCAGACTACAGCTCCTAACTCGATTTAAAGTTCACATGGCACAACGATCACGTGTCCTGTCCAATTGACGATGACGTAACAACAGCGAAGAGAGTTTATAAACCATTTTACTCGACCGCTACTTACGAATATTTTCATGCATACTATTCTAGCGATCTCCCTTTATCAGTGTCGCCAGGAGTCACGATTATTCTTAGATTCGAAAGGCTAATATCGATTATTT